GCGTCCGGCCGTGTCATGGGCACAGGGCGATAGCATGCGGTCGAGTCACCATGGGACCGGTCCCAGGAAATGCCGCGATTGACTGGTCCGCAAACATGTCCGCTAGATTAGGCCGAGGGCTAGATGCCTAACTGAATCAGCTTGATTCAACTAAAAGTTTATGCTGGTTTGTAGGGGAGAGTGGGGCAAAGCGGCCACCCTAACGCTTCTCACGATGCCAACGCTTGATTTTTAAACTTGGAAAGATTCTTTCTATACCAATGTGATCCCTATTAAGTTGCCTTTTATTTCAACTGCGTTTTATTTCCAAAGGCGTTCACATATGAAAGATATTGACAAAACTTTAAACCTATGCATATTGGCCACTTTGCCCCATACCCTGGGGCAAAGCGGCCACCGGCGTCTTCTCAAGTCCCGATATGAGAAACAAAATAGTTGCCTCGTGTACGACTAAGGTATTTGATGGTGACAAGGTTAAGCGAGGATGCATGTTTACTTTATCATTTTCCACGTGTAGGTAAACAAAGAAAGGATTTTCATGAAAATAAACATTTAATTGCATTATTTGGTAACTCATGCAACTGAAAAGTGGCCAAGATGAATGCATGACGACACATTTGAATATAAATAATGTTTTTTATCCAGATGGAAGCAACTTATCGCCAATTGGGGGGTGGCCACTTTGCCCCGGCCACTTTGCCCCGCGCTTACCGTCCGAGACAAAAATATTCCAGCTTAGCTATTAGTGGGGTAAAAAACATTAAAATTGGTAGAATACATGTACGATAACCAGGCAATGCATGGACAAGAACGCTTATAAAAATTCCAAACGGTTATGGAATAACATAACATTTAAAATTTGTAAACATAGTTGGTAACCTGGCAAGAAATGCTTTTCCGTGTTTTACAGAACAATGGTGATGGGCCTGAAACCCCGGTCTGGCTCATCCGAACGACCGTGAAGAGAAGTATAATTGGAAACCATAAATTGGAACTGACGCCAGCTATGAAGGGCTAAAACGATGGGTGGCCGCTTTGCCCCGGGTGGCCGCTTTGCCCCACTCTCCCCTACTTTGTTCCTTGTTTATTTGTAGAGAGATCAAGCTGCTTGATGAAAGTATTATGCCTAGGTATACCTAAGGTAGATTAATATTCATAGACTTTGAAGTCGGTTTTATGTGCCGGATCCGAGCGCAAACCAAATTTGCTAAGGGTAATTTCGGATTGATAAATTAAGGTTGGCTGTCGGACCCTGACGCAGATTTGACAGGCCGATAACACATTGCACATGGCCGGGTCGTATAGGTATATTGGAAGCAGGGGCGGCGGATTCGGGGGGGGGGGGCAGGGGGGGGGGGGGCAGCTGCCCCCCCTGGCAAACTCGTGGGGGGGCAAAAGTATCTTTTTGCCCCCCCCCCCATAATTTGAAACAAAACTTAGACAAGAAACATATACCTGATTATTCTGTTCGATCATCTGAAGATGTAACCAGATGCCCATATACGCTATCATACGTTGCCTTTCATGACAAGTGTTCGCGTTCAATTGAACCTTTCCTCTTTTCAACCTAGTTTTGGAGGCATTATAAGCGTCAACGTGACGCGGCGGCAACCCAGGCCTTCAGTGACCGCTTACAGGGGCGACGGATACGGAGCGGCAGAGGAGGCATCGTTCCCTAAGAAACTTCGGGAGGAGGGACAAACGTATATTCTTGCCCCTCCATAATTCGTGCTCTAAACATGAGGAACGTTTCCATAGCCTGATATTGCAGCTATGCGCTCCTACAGTTTGTCCAACGGTGTCTTTTGAATATATGTGTAAATGCTAACCATTTCCGCTTTATAGCATTTTTTTTGTCTTTTCAGATTCGATTTAGAGATAGACGCAACTCACACCCTCAATGGTCGTTTGCCGCTATTTTGTACCTACATGAATGCCAAATCGCAAGCGAGCGGAGACGGAAGGGCTAGCCACTCGCTTGCGGGTAGTTTAGGACTGATGAGCGCTCGTAATTAGCCAATCCCCTGATTTTTTTTTTCGAGCGCAACAGTTTCCAGTGCAAGTAACATGGTAAACGCCGAGGTCGTAGGTACTCATTGACCACATTGACCAATGCACGGTATGACACCCAAAGGCCAGTCATCAGAGATCTGCTTTGGGCATTCGGAGGCTTGTGTGGGGCCAGTGTAAAAACTGCAGATGTTCACAGTTCAGTATCCGCTTTATTTCAGTGTTCACTATTAAATAAGTAAAAAATAACGGTGGAAACTTTTGAGGGTTAGGGCACTGATCATTAGTGGGCCCCCCTCTGGCTAAAGAATATAGAGCATCGAACACGAAAGCAAAATCTAAGGCATTTTGGAAAAATGAGTATGCCCCGCAGCGTCCCATAACTACCACCTTCCAGTGGGTCAAGCCAACGGGGTTCAAGTCTATAATGGCACTTAACGATAGCACCAACCTTGTCTCACTTTTCGTTGAAGTCTGTTCCGAATGGTTTCAGCGACAGACTGGCTGCACTGAGGTCGTTTGGTATGTGCAACTGTAATTAAAGCCACCTGAGGCGCCCTGACACCAGGCTGAAGCTGGGTTGGAAATGCTTCGTCTTTGCAGATATCACTGGCCGCTGATTCTCGAGTGCCTGAACCGGTAGATGTCTTGGCAAAATTTGGTGTGATAATTTGGACCTTATACCGCAGTCAGCGCACCCTAAAGCCCTAACAAAGAAACCCCCCCCCCCCCCAGAGCTTCTGGATTCCCGTTCCAGTCCACCGAATTCCTTCACCATAGTCCGCTGCTCGACTCCCTCACCTCAGCCCTCCGTTCCCAGCTTGACGAACGTTTGGGCCTTAGTTAAGTCTTGCTGTGGGCTTATCTGTAGGATAAACCCATCGAGACAGCCCGTCTCGGTGAGCTTAGTTGGCGAACTACTGCCTTGGGGTGGGTTTCTGGCGGATTGCTGTCCCAACAGGTTTAGATGCGACCGACTGTCTCTGAATGTTTGAGCGGTCTCCTCCCGCTATTAGCTAGTTTCAGTTGATATCTGTCTCAGAAATACTTTTTAAAGGAAGGTTAAACGGAAATCGAACGTAAAATGAACAGAGGAAATGGTAACGAGTTACCTCATTGAAGAATAGCGTTCGCCTACTTCAAAAGGTTCGGCACCGTTCTTCAAATCTGATTTGCGATCGGGTTATGCAAGATTACTTTACTACTCTGGTTATGGGCTATGGCACAATTTTTCCCATAGGAGCTTTTTTTCTAACTCAGCAATACGAAAATCGTTATTCCTATCGTCCACTGGCAGATCCAGGGAGCGGGCATATAAAGCAAATATTTACTCCCCCTCCCCTTGCATCGCCCGAAATAGACAAAACGTACCTTATGTTTCCTAATAATAAAACTTTTATCAGAAATTCTTTGCTTCATACTGTTCAGCAGTAGGTCTGTTGTTAGGTCTTAGGTCTGTTAGTAGGTCTTCATACTGTTGCAGCAGCAGTAGGAATCGAAATCCGAGGAGTTTTTGGATTTTGGACACTTGGGGGGGGGGGTATGTCCCCTACAGCGTCGAAAACGCCTTTCTGGATCCGCCTATGACATCATCTCGTCTGGGATCTTGCCCCCCCCACGCCAAAATCGAATCCGCCGCCACTGATTGGAAGGTAAAGCATGGCCTCGTATACGGCAACTTGCAATGAAATACTAGAATAGGTAGGCATCTATAAGCTTAATTAACTTCCGTCCACATTCCCACCTGTCAGTTCATCGTCATATGCATTTTACGATAAAAAAATGGACCAACTCATGCAGCCTCAGAAATTACAAAAACACACTCAAATAACAGAATATCCGTCAAACAAATCTTATTTATGACGACACGAGCCAATGCTAACAACGCTTGCCAGTTGCGCTAGATATTTGAATGGAGACGTCAGAGAAAAAAAGTCTTTAGATAGATTTCTTCCATTTCCCCACGTAACGTTGAACGGCCGTTGCGGCCTTATCTGGCATGCGACGGCCTTATCTGGCATACAAAATGTCTCTAGAAGTCTCTAGCTAGTGTTAAAGCCTATGGACGTCTAGGGAAATGTATCCAAGTACTTGGTACTGCCTCCCCCAAGTACTGGCTGGCAGACGGATCAACTTTGGAGGCCCACCATTTGGAACTTAGGCAATTTTGAGACGAATGACTTTGGATTGGGGCCTCGGCCACCTTCTTCTACACGTTTTACTGAGTAACTCCGAAATTTCGGAAAAAAACCCTGATAATACCTTTAAAGCGTCACAGGTAGGTATATGGGTGTCTAAGCATTGGATAATTGATTCACAGCCTAAAGAAGGGCACCACTTAAGATACATTGAACTTTGAAGTCAGTCAAAGACCCGACTTTATTACTTCAGCAAAGGAATATCTGTATGACCTCAGCAAAAGTGACATCATTATTGCGTCTAACTTCTCGCTCTCGCTCAACAATTCCGTAACGAGCACAATTAAAAAATATTGACGGGGCGGTCCTCTCGATCTCGTCAACACTCCGCAGTAACGCCAACTGGTTCGACATTCGCAGTTGAAGGCCCACCTACGCAATAATCGCCCAAAAATAGGCACCGAGATCTGACGGCCACCTGTGTTTTGCTAGAGTTAGTTACCTGCTTTGATGATTTCATTGCTCGTTCCTTCTCAAACGTCTCACTTCAAAACATTCGCTGCAGTCAGACAAAGGTATGATGACATCTCGTCTGGCTGGGTTTCTCAATCGTAATGTCACATTGAAGCGGCCCTTGCAGAGGCTATTTATGACGCCGCATTGTTGGTGGCTAGCTGCTCCCCCTCTCGCTATCCTTGGCGTTGCCTGACCGGTTGTGGTGGTGGCGTTGTTTTTATTCAGTGTCCGGTTCAGTTGGCCAACCCACCCGCTCCCGTCCCGGCCGGCCTTTTTCGTTGTGGGCGGTGCCTCATTGTTTGGAAACCTCACCCGACAGTGAGGCAAACAACATGCTTTGCATACAACGGTTTATTATCAAACTCATCGCATCTACCAATAAATATGGTCAATAATCAATATACGGGTCCACCTTACCGCGCTACAAAATATACCACCAATCAGCTATCCCATACAGGCGTGACGCATCGTTCATCTTGGCGTTGCGACGCCGTCTCACGTTCGGACACTTTGGTAAAACAGTTATTCATATCGGGCAAGAAGCCCCGGCGGCGCGCCGCCCGAGGCCATTGGCGACCTAGCGAGGGCGTCAGACGCTTTGTGCACAATCATAGGACGGCGCCGGACGCCCCCTAAACACACAGGACATGTACGATTGTATGATGATCCGGTGCGCCAGTGTCGCACTGGCACTATCACAGTGGGGTGGACGCCGCGGCCGCCCCCGCCCCCGCCCCGTGGAGGAGGCGGCGGCGGCGGCGACCGGGCGTCCAGAACAACAGAGAACTGTCATGACCGCCTTGATGCGAGCACTCCCCGCCCGCGTAAACAGAATCCAGTGGCGTACACCCCCACCCCTCAGCGCGACGCGCCGCTCAGAAGCCCGAGTCGAGCTGCTGCTCGTAACGACTGGAGAGGAACGTGGCAGCCTCGGTCATCTGCGCCAGGCACTGGCTCAGCCCGCTCAGGTGCGCCTCGAATCGCGCGCGCACCGCCTCGCACGGCTCCTCGGCGCCGCACGCGTCTTCACTCTCGTGCCCCGAGTCGTCTGCGGCGGCGCCTCCGGAGCTGCTCTCCGAGGACAGCGAGCTCAGCGACTGGCTACTCATCATCGACGGCATGCGCTGCAGCGGCTTGCTCTCCGGCTCCGGCTCCTGGTCGTCGAGGCCGCAGCCGCCGCGACGCACCGTGCTGCGCACGGTCTTGAGCAGCCGGAACACGTCATAGGCGTCCGAGGACTGCAGCAGCGACGGCACCTGCTGGCGCGCCGGCTTGTCGCCGGATTCGTCACGCACGCTCATGTCCATCAGCCTGCCGAAGGAGGAGAAATCGGTCACCCTCGGATCACCGCAGCAGTGTGCGAGCACAGGAAGTGGAACACTGGTACCACTGGGACCACTTTCCCTGTGTGATAGTATCGACTAAACGCGTTAACAAGTGCACAGGTGGAGCTTCCTTTCATTCAATTCGAAGTAGCCGAGCCTGTTATATGAACGCTACTAGTGTCACCTCGTTACCTAAGCTAGTGCAAAGGAAAAACGATGGCCAGAGGGAAAGTGGCCAAACATCCCAGCTTTCTACTTGTTCATGTTCCAGACGGCACAAAGAATTACTACCTGCGCGGGATTAAAAGAATTAAGCACCTAACACATCATTATATAATTTCACTATCGTAAAAGGTGAGGATGATCACAAACCCCTTACTCCAAGACCGACCTCCCGTGAACCACAAGGTTCATCTTGGCGTCTCCGCTACCCTATCTGTCAGGCGGATGGAATTTGCACGCATAAATCTCGTGCAGAGGCCGGCCAAAGTCAGCCAGCGGCCTCCGAAGTCGCATAGCCGGCCGATGACATCTGAACAGTTCGTCGAAGGACGGCAAGGACGCTTATCGGGATTTGCCCTACCCCTGAACCGGCTTATACCGGATATAGTGGGATAAAGCCCCCCAGGTCTGGCTGTGTTTGCCTGCTGCTAGGTTCCGTCGTGCCCCCTGTTGGGATCGATTGCGCCCCTGTCCAGTTCGATCGGCCCTTCTCAGGCTCGCGAACATCACTGCACGCTCGGGTGCAGGCCAGCGACCTTGACCCAGTGGCTCGTGCCGCGGCACCGGCCGTGCCGGATGGAAAGCTCTGGCGACACTCGCATACCTGACCGGCGAGGTCACCGGTGGGCTGAGTCAGGTGCCAGGACGCCGACCGACTGAGCCGTGACCTAAGCAAACTTCGCAGCGGCTCTGAGGGATACCGGATCAATATTAAAAATCCCGGAGCGGTGATTGTCGGTATAGACGGCGGAATTTCCGAAATACTGATAAATTTAAATAAATCGGTTTTAGAAGCTTTGATTAACTTGAAACTCGACCAAACGAACTTGAAAACTGCATGGAATGTCGCACACGCTTCCCGGATTTGACTGTCCAAAATAAACAAACAGATCTGACAGCTTCCTCGAACTACGTCGCACCAGGCCGGCAGCATCCTAGCCTAGAACCAGATGTTGACTCCTGAGGCCAAACTCCACACATCTGTGGCACCGAACACCTGGCGTTTGACCGTCCGTCCTCTGCGCATACGCTAGAGGTCCTTCAGGGGTCAACGGGTCCACCGGCGGTCCACCCGGTCCGCACGAGCCCACTGCGTGTGATGAGCTCAGCTGACTGCGGCGGCGACCGAGCCCGAGCTGTCTGGGGCGGCCCGGGCCGCGGCTGACTGGCCCGCCGCCAGACTGGGGAGGGGCAGGGGCGGGATCACGCCAGCCCCGGCTGACGGCGGCAGAGGCCACGCACCCGTGCCGTGCTCCGATCAATAGAGTCCCGACGATTCGGCGACGCGGGGAGCGACGGAGACGACGGGGATGGAATTACTTCGATGGGAGGGGATGGAAGGGAATGAGGGAAAAATAATGAGTTTTTGCTGAACTGAGTGACCGTTGGCATTTGATCACGGGGTTACTCGTAAAAACGGACCGATTTCGAAGAATTGGCCGCGTGATTCATGGCTGACCAACTGTGGGGTATGTCACTACATTACACAACAGCTGTCATTTATCCATGCTCTTTTGAAGACAGACCAGTTTGGCGAGCGACTCGATATCATCTGCAAAACTTGTGCGGGGCGAGAACGGATAATACCTCGCTCTACCGGTAGTCGGCGTTCGAAAAGTGAAAACACCGAGTTACTCTCTGTGCTACCAGAGGGGAGGGTCGCCAGACTTGACCTAGCAGGCTTCACATCAAGGCACCCAATGCCGTTGGCTTTTTGTCGGCGCAGAGAAAGGCGGTCCACACGGGTCCCGCGCCGAGGCCTCCGATTTGTGCACGTGTCAAGGTGCACTGGTGCCAGACAGGAGTTTCGCCAGTGCCGTGGACGCCGTGCCGCCGCGGTTGGGTCATCGGTCCGCTTCGTCGGCAGGTCACGGGAGAATAGTGACGGGCCGTGACGGGCGACCGTGACTCTCCATCCACCGTGACGGTCTCGGTCGTGACTCGGGTCGCCGGACGTTCGTACTCTAAATAACTATGATTACGTGGACGGCCGGACGCTTATTCATAGACAAGCTAGCGCTTCACTTGCTACGAAGTCAACTCGGACTGAAATACCGTTTCATGTCTGATGCATATCCAATCCCAGCGAAACCGCAGGTGCATGAATTTCACCACCTTTCCTTCAGCAAGGGGAAGTCCCACCTCTCCCCGTAGTGCACCTCATTCCACCCATCACGGGAGTTCCTCCTCCAGCCGGGGGCAGAGGATGGCCTTGGCTGAGGCCAGCGAGCCCAGGCTAAGACCGCGTGGAACCGCGTGAGCTGGCAACCCCCGCCCCGCGGCGACCTCTCCCAGGATGTAGCAGGACGTGCCAGTGGTAATGTAACATGCCGTGGTAGGAAATCCCGCCAGATTATTTATCACTGCTCGCTCAAAGACTGCGAAAAGGCCACTACTGGACGAGCTGGGAGTGCATGCATGGAAGGATCACGGGTCATTTCAGCTTCCATAGACACGAGAAGAAGTGGAAGATTAAAGGATGAAGGACCAGCTCAGTGATGGCTGGGAGACTGGCTCTCTAACTCAGCGAAACTCCTGCTTTAAGAGTTGATAACTCACCTGGAAGGCACCAAGATGGTCTCCTCCATGTTTTGTACTGCACGGTCGAACTGCTGCATTCCGCAGAGCACAGAGTTGGCCGAAATGTCCGACATGTCCATGTCGACTGAGTTGATCTGCAACAGATAGTGCTCACCGTCAGCGATCGCAGCTCGATCACGACTGCCGCTGATGAAACACGGCTGTATCAGGACGCCGCCGGGCGATACAGGCCGCTGACGTCACAGGGGGGCCAGGGCGCCGCCGCGACCGGTCGCGCTCCAAAGAGTTCAATGCCATGTGCCAGGTAAACAGTGGTTTAGTGCGGGCGGCTGATGGGTTGCCCAACTCAAACTGGCGGTGCCTAGCAGAGCGAGCCGTGCCACGTCAACAGCTGGCGTTCCGACATCGCTCCGTGTGTTACGTGGCAATCGGCGTGACTCGCCCTTTGGGAGGCACAAAGAAACCAAACCATTTTTGTTTTAGCAGACAAACTCGAAAGCACTAATGTTATTTGAAACTTTTGAAATTTCGAAGTCCAACATGGAATTTCACTTTGGAACTTTTAAAATCAATTACCGTTTCATGTGGAGGAAAAAAACTTAGTACCTAAATGCGGCGAATAAGCATCAAATTCAGAAATAGCAAACAGTAACGACTGCAATTATTTAGCGACAGAATTCCACCCTCTCGCCGTGTTCGGAAGTTTCCACTGGGCGTCAGACACCGTTCATCGATCGCCTTTCGTTGGACAGGGGCGTCGGCCGGGCTCCCTCAGTTTCCCATCGACCGTTATTCCCTCAATTCCCCGGCACTCACCGACTGGCGTTTCAGCTTCTTCCTATCACCACTCCGTCCGCTCGTCTTCTCTCCCGCAGAATAGAATCGCTGCATGATATGCTGCTGCATTCGCACCTTCCGCTAGTCACTGCGACACCTCGCTCACACTTTAGCTCTGTCGTGGTTCGGCTCGACACCGCTCTCTCGCTGTCCGCACTAGGTCTGCTGGCTTCGGCGCGGCGCCGGGCGGTTTTATGCGCTGGGCTCGCCTGGGGCGGGGCGTACCGGCCGGTCGGCCCGGTGTGGGCACGCCGGTGGTCGTACCACGCCGGGGAGGGGGAGGGGGGGAGGAGCGTCCGTCGCAGCGCGTCCTGTGGTCGTCGCGTGATCGCGCGATGCTCGAGCGCTGATACCTCCGGCCGCGCGGTGGGACGGGGTGCGGTCAGCAAAATCCCCGGGGCAGACGGGTGAAACGGCCAGCCGCCGACAATTTTCAGAGGAACCCGAAAATCACACTCCGCTAAATGGTCAACTGCGTGCACGTTTGGAAGACAAGCACAGCTTATCAGCATGGTGAAATCATCATACTAATATGCGAGGTCACAATAGGTTCGCGAGTCGTAATTCATTCGGTAATGATAGCGGATCTGTGTCGAGCACTTACTGAGTTACGTTGGAAAAAGATTACAGCAGGGCAGAGCCTTGGCCTAAAGAGGATAGGCATGGTCCTTCTTGACCCAAAACAAAACCCATGTGCCCAGGTGAGCCGGGAGGATGAGTTATAAATTCGCGGTCCTGTGGGTGCAGTGATTGACTTCCTGTAGGCGCGCAGTTTATTCATGACTTCGTCAGCAAACGCCTAGTTTTACGGAAGAATATAAATTGTTGGCCTTTTCCATACAACCAGAGCTATATTATAGCAGCAGCTTGCATACGCTACTGATATAATCGCAATTTATAACACAATTTCCCCTCCTTATAACACTAATCTAAACTTCCTGTACGGACCTATAAGGTCAGGTTTGAGCTAGAACCTTGCATTGCCAATCGACAACTATAGTTCAAAACTGAAAATAAAAACTGAAGGATTGTAGGCATTGATTTCATGATTTGTGCTGATTTATTCCAAATTCGAAAGTAAAATGTGCACATTGAAACAAAACCTTACTGCATGGGACTGGATACTGCCCCATCGCCGCAGTCAACTGTGCAGGAAACCGTTTAAACGTTTTACGATCAGAGTTCATCGTGTCAATGCTCCGAAGGTCAAACTCATAGCCGGTGCCAGCGAAAGCCCCGTCCACCACCAATCACCTCCCCGGAGCTGCCTTGCAGGGTTTCCTATCCGGTCTGCTGTCTGCTGGATCGTCTGCCCTGTCCAGTTCCCTGCCCGGTGAGTACCGCGGCTGTCCGCCCGTCCGTCCGGCCTCGAACGAAGCTGCGGGGGCCCCGAGCAGGGCCTCAGGTGCTGCGAAAGGAGTTCTGCGAGGTGCGATCTGATAGGCCTCCCACCGCCGCGGCCCCAGCCCGACCCGTGCAGGACTCGCAGGACCTTCGGGCCGCGGTGGCTGATGCAATGGTTTTGCTCTTCGCTCCCACCGTCCTGACCTCATTTGCAGGAAAGGAGACGAGGCATAGTGATCGACGATCGTCCTACCGTGACCTTGTCACTGCAAGGTGGCGCACTTTGGAGTTGAGAGTTGGGCACGCTAACTATTACGAGTGTTTAATGAAACGGTGGATGGTGTGGAAGGTCTAGCATAGCTCTGGACTAACGGCCGAGCGAACTGAAACTATTGAAATAAGAGGAAGTAGACGTGTCACTCAGCTCGCCTCCTTCCAGTCTTGGACTTCCGTCACGGACCTCGATGGCGGGTGATTTATTCAAAGGGCAATGTTTAAGGAAACATGGACATTCAAACGAATGTTGTAGAAGAAACTGGACTATTCTTATTAATAAATATGCTTTAGCCAAACAGCTCGTGCATCCTCAGGCCAATGTAAGCTTGAATCTTGATTAGCATGCTGAAAACGGTCAACATGATGCAAGTAGGCCTGCATAATGTTTGAATGGTTGTCTGTTTATTTTGGAAGAGGTTGCACGTGGTACGGTCATGCCTCCTTTTCCAGATGCACAAACACACGCGAGGCAGGCGTGAGGCTCCTTCAGGGGGAGCATGTTTTGGTGGGCAGCATTCCGCTTCCTGCGGTATCCATAACACAGAATGGCGTGTTGTTTCATTTACTCGTGCAATTCTGTTTACATGGTCTTAACTGTTACTTTCGTTTATTTCTACGCCATGGGGCTTATGTAACAATTCCGAAATTATTAGTGGGGATGTGGCCCTACCAGCCAATATTTACACCAATGAACAAATTTGTCAAAGTTCTCAGCGAATGGCGCATGCAAGTAAATGAAATTCGAGTTGATTAAACGTAAAACGGTGGTAGTTGACAGTGACGATGCTACCATGATGAGCTGTTACAGCTTTCAGCCATCGTTTTTAGTTCCTTGACGGCCCTTTCGAGCACGCCGGTCCCGCCAGGCTGTTCCGTTCGAGCTTCTAAGCTATTGCAGTGGATTCGGCGACCTGACATGTCACACTCGCGCATTGTGACGTTATTTATCTCGCAAAACATTGCTTGCGCCTTCATATACCTACATACGGGTGCATCAGAAGTGGAAACGATCGAAATGTCTATCAACGTATTTCGCTATGTAAGTACCTTGTGCATTGTGCACTGCCATGCAGTTGAAGACCTTCAATCGAAACGCTAACAAATTCAGGTCACTTCCAGGTAAATGTATCTATTTGAAAAATGATAACGGGTATACCGAATGCACCCTCATTTTGAAAATGTGTCACCTGGTCAAATCATCTTCAAACACGACGTGTGCACTTGCATGCACATTAAAACACCTGTTAAAACATCCATGTCAACCAAAAATACCTATACGAGCTCGACATGAAGCCAACTGCCTGAGGGGGAGCGCGATCACGTGCGCCGTCTGCACGTGCGGTTTGACGGAGCGCCGCTGCGATCAGCCCTAGGGCGAGTGATCGTCGCGCTTTTTGTCTGCCCCAGACACACCGGCTCCACGACCTGACAGCCTGAGTTTGGCCCAGCAGCGGCTGAAAAACTCCGCCTGCTGCCTTTTGGCGAACGCTGGCTGCGGGCGGCGAGGGCCCGACAACAGCCGTGTTATGAGCTGTCGGTGGGTCAAAGGGGTCACAAGGTCACGACAGGGGACGCGCCGCCGCATAGCAACAGCGGCCGGCGCGGGCGGCCCGACTTGTGTGCCAAGGACTTGTTGCCATGAGCTGAGTTTAGAAGAGGAGAGAAAAAAAACACATGATGAGAGGAGAGATGATAGCGGCCTCTGTGAGTGTGGTCTGATAAGTTTGGCTGGTCGATTATTTCAAGACCGATTATTCCTCAGAAGAAAAAAGTCGCTATCGCATTGAACACTTAAACTGACTTTATTGATTACATGCCACAAAGTTAAGATTAAATGGATTGGACTTAACCTACATAGCTGGTAAATCGAAAAGTAAAACGAAAGCTGGTTTTGGTCATAGTCGGACGTTTATGTGCCTACTGCCTAGGGAAAAATTCAAACATTAGATAGTTCGTAACTAGGGTGACCCGCGTGCTCCGCAACGCGAAAAGGGATATTTTCGATCGGCGGGTGTTCGGTTGTTCTTGTGTCGGTTGGGTTATCTATCCATTTCGGTCGATTGCTTTTTGACGGCTAAACGTTTTGGTTTGTGGAAAAAATATCCACCGCATCGAGGTGCCCGTGTCTGATAAGCATGCTTTCCACTTCAGAATCTGTCAAATGTGCTTTATAATTTTGAGTCTCTGCGCAGGCGCAGAGCTGGACGGCTAGCTTTGCAGGTGCTCCGCGTTTTGCTTAATTATTCTTTATCAAGATGAGCTTTCCAAGATCATATGTACTTCTATAATCTCCAGTTTTTCAGCTCTTTACTTTAAGTGTAAATGTGGTACCTGGTTCTGACGGACTACCTACATTATTATCAGCAAGCCTTTTTGAAGGTACGTACAAAAACTTCGTTTCAAGATTGAATTAGATGCGTCATATCTGTCCGATTGTCTCACAAGAACTGCCCCATCCACGCAAAATTTCATTGAAAAATAACGTGACGTTGTGAGGCTACCACCCTCAATACGACGAAAATAAGAGGACTTCAGTCACTATCGCTTCTGGGTGTTCTACAGGGGCTCCTTTAAGTCCACGGACGTTTCAAAACAGACTGATAAGTCAGCAAGCTCTGCTTTTTCACAAAACAAAACACGTTTCTTCCGGCTTGAAGATGCGGCACACAATCAGCACAAGAATGAGACGCCTAATGCTGTTTTCAGCATTTTTACTCGTCCTGGCCGAACATGTTGCTTTGGACGTTATTTGGCAAACACCAATCCTTGGTGCCTGCTTTGCCACACCGCCAGTAACACAAGACCTCCGCAAGTGCTCTGATGACGTCTTTCCCCTTATCTTGCCCCGGGAGCGGAACAGGGAGCTCCCCACCATCCCGCTATTTCACCAGAAGCAGGTGACACGGACGGGTAAAGTCAAAACCCGCTACTTCAGGAGGCGCGTCGCATACAGCGCCAATTCAGACGCCACTCGCCAGATGGGCCGCTTAGCGTACGTCCCTCCAGTCCTACTCGCCGGCGATATCGAGCTCAACCCTGGCCCCACCTATGCAACTGAAGATTCACGGGATTGTTCAGAGTATTCAGTCAGCACATCCAGCCATGGGTCCTCTCAGCTCTCATGTGCTGGATGCCCCAGTCTCTCGACAAGGAAAGCCTCTATAACGTGCAATAACTGTGCGCTGCGTTGGCACACATCGTGTGCCAGACTCACACTGGCGTCTGGCCCAAGCACGCGTGCTTAACGTATGGCACTGCAGTAAATGTCGCCATAGTCAAACTACTCTCAGCGAGTCAAGATGCACTCCTGGTAAGATAACCCCGGTGACAGCGCCTACAACCACAACGCCTCTCTCTGAACGGTTAGCTGAGCTGCGAAACAACTGCACCGTCATCAAAAGGATTCCGAAGGCGGCGCGGGCTTCTGCTGCAGACTGCCTCTCCAAGCTCATTGATAAGGCGGTATGCGACTCGAGCTCTGAAGCATGGGAACGCTTCATGCTATTTGCGTATTTAGCTCTCCGCGCTCCAGTCAAGACCCCCGGTAGAAAAAATCAATCAGCCGCCTCAACTATCAAGCAGCAGGTAGCTAGCATGGATAATTTAACGAGTATCCAACCTATCTCAAG